TTTATCCTCATTTGCATACATTTAACTGACTTTTGCATAATGCGTTTTTATGGCTCTCCTGAAGCCTTTCCAGGGAACGTGGAATTCGTTTGCTGAAGACAGACCTCCGACTGTGCTTTGGTTGCAGGGGGGGGGAGAGAACATTTCACAGCCCCCCTCCCCCCCTTTGGAAGCACCCCAACACCCCACGTGAATCCCTTGGCAACTCCAGGCGTCGAAGGCAGTGATTTTGATATTCACACAATCATCACAGCAGTCCACATAGGCAGCGCACACACCTTCAAAAAATCCAGACCTGTATCAACAAACCCATTCTAGTCCTTTCTATCACCCTTGCGCTGCGGGGGGGGGGACTTTTGTAAACCGAATGGATCTTGATTGCTCCCTTTGATTCAAAGCTATCCAAACGGCTGTCCAAGCGACAACAGGGAGAGAGGTGACTAGGATAGACGGTCGCTGTTAGCAATGCTTTCCTCGGTCAAGTCAGCTGCTGAGACGACCCTCCAAGGGAAGAAGGAAGCTTGAGGGAGAGGGTGTGGGTGGCAGCCATGCCTGTAATGAGCGGCGGGGAGATCCCAGGTCATCACCTCTACAAACTCTCCACTGACCTCTTGAGATTCAAATAAAAGCAACATTGATCAAGGAGAAAGGCCACAGAGCCCAGAGCCTTGCCACGAAAGCGTGAAAGCTTCAGGGATCTTCAGAACGCTTCTTCAACCCCGTTAGAAATAAAGGAAGAGGTCAAGACATGAAATGAAATGAAATAAGTCTCACCAGATGTTGTGGTTGCCAGCTTTCCCAACGAACTCAATCCTAAAATGAAGAGGGCAGGCAGGAAATGCCAGCATGAGATGCGACGGGATCAGGGGAGACCTTCGAGGGATGGAGGATCAGTGTGGTTTTCTGTCTCTGCAAACAGGACGCCCGAGGAGACCCATCTCTCCAGCAAGGGAAGGAGAACAAAACGAGGAGGGGGGAGGCCACAGGGTTGGGGAGGCGAGGGGGGTCCTTTATCCAGTCCTAGGCCTCTCGCCGAAACCACGCGTGGCTTTCACTGCTTGGGGGGGAGGCAGAGGAGGAGGAGCCACTCTTGAATCCACACCTTCAGGAGTCCTGGAGCGGAGTCCTGCACACGTCCTCACCAGCCACGTCCCTCCGAGGTAGGGAAACGTGGCCTGTGGAGCAGCCCTCACCTGCCGGGAGGAGGATGACAGGAACAAATGAGCCGTCTCTGCAAAGGCAGCTGCTCACCGTCTGCTCCTGCGTTACTTACTCCTGAAGGCAGGAGGTGCTGGAAGGCCCCCCCTCTGGCACGGTCCAGAAGCCTCCAACCTTTAGACCCACAAGAAGCAAGGCAACAGACGGAGCACTCAGAGAAGGGGGAGAGAGCGAGAGACAGACAGAAACAGAGAGACTTAGGAGGAGGACTCCTCTCCAGGATTTCCCTCACCGGACATCTCGGGGGGGAGAAAAAGCAGTTCCTGTGCATGTCAGGAGTTCTGCTGGCCAGGAAACTCTCCACCTCACCTCACTGGCACCTTCTCACAGAGTCACTCCCCCCCCCCCCCCGCTGCCTCTGTGATGCTGCGTTGAGTGGCAGCTAAGTTCATTTGGCCATTTAAAGTTTCATGGATAATTAATTCTTCCTCCTCGGCTTGCAGTTAAAAGCCAAGGTAGGGGCCAGCTCTTCAAAGCCATGACAGGAGTGGGAAGTGCATGCTAAAAAAACCCAACACCCTGTTTTTAAAAAATTGGCTGATGGGTATATAGTTTGGGTAGTGGGGTCCCATCTGCATTTGTATATTCTAATCCGAGTTCAGAAAGGTTGTTTTTCAGACTTCACGAAAACCACAGTCAGCGGGTCTGCTAGACATGTTGGTCAGAGGGTTCTGAAAACCATTTCTTTCTTTTTTTTAAAGCTTTTTTTTCTGATAAATATCTCCAGTGTTTGGGAGCTGGAGTAGATCCAGGCGCTGTGAAAGAGCTGGGGGGTGGGGAAGCAAATCTCCTGCAAAGACCATCCTGTCATGGACGATCCCTAGTCAGTTGTGGAAATCAACTTCACGCTGCACGCACTTTTTCCAAGCTCCTCTCTCGGGAGATCCCACCCGAAGCGGCAAAGCTAGGAGTGGCTGAGAAGAAAAGGACGGATGTTGAACCCCGAGGGGGGGGTCACTCCTTACACCAGTCTGTCTGGCTCGGTCTCTGGGGCGGCCGGTCGGTGGGTCTGGAGTGAGGTAAAGCACGGAGGAGACCCCCTGCCTGTGGTTCCTATGCAACACGCCCGCCAGGAAATTAAAAATGAACAGATCCGGTGGAGGAAACGTGTGCCGATACATTACCCCAGTTAGACACTACAAGGAAATTAAAGTGGGCCCGGGGGAGGCATCAGCGCGCGCGCGACATAATGGCCAATTGGGGAGGGGATCGAACAGCAAAATGCAAAGTTAATCTTATGAAGGTTTACTGCAATCCCTAATCCCTGGGGTGGCAGAATGTGTGTGCGCGTGCGTGCCCCGAGGAGCTTCATATGTAACTCAGCGAGGAAACCAAAAGTGTCGGCCTTCAACCCATCTAAGGAGGCAGCAGAAATATCCATCCCCTGGCTTATTTATTTGTTCAGGGGCATTTATGTCATGCTTTTCCTTCGATAAGCGCCAGCTGGCACAGACGGCTTCCCTCCTCTGACTTCGCAGTCACAACAATCCTGCACAGCAGGCCAGCCTAAGCGCCTACGACTGGCCCATGGTTTCCCAGCCAGTTTCGTGCCTGAAACAAGGTGGCAGAACGTCCAGATTCAAAAGCAGTGTGCCTTGAGTAGCACAAACTGCTGGCGGAGAAAGTGAGAAGCTTCCTAAAGGCACCGCCACTTTTCCCCGGCTTACTGGTTCCCTCTGGGATCGGCTGCAAGCGTCTGAGGTGTGTTTTTGATGGCTAGGCCATCAAGGGCTGTTAGCTCCACAAAAGGCCGTCTCCTTCAAAGACGACTAGTATTTCATACTGCAGATTTATCTGCATGTAATTCAAAAATAAGCCTGGTTCCCTTGTAGTCTTGCAAACCGTAAATGAATCATTGGGGGAAAAAAAGATTGGAGACTGTGAATTTGCTTTCACAACACACACAAGCATGATTTAGCTCCTTGTGGCTGGTTCTCCCTCTTGGCACATGGATCAACCTTCTCCATGACATTACGGGGAATGAATCTCAAACTCCACTCTGTTGCGGCTCAACCTGTTTGCAGCACATTCACACATGCTGCTTTCTTGACCCTATCTGCCTGAGTCAGCCCTCCGATCCCACACATTTATTCACCTTCTCCTGCAAAACTAAGCGACCCCTTCTGGGCTGTGAAAAAAATAAATAAATCGCCCACTCCTGAAACCAGGGGCTCCAGAGGAGCTGCTCAACCGTATGCGCCAACCCTCCTCTCTCCTTCTTTCTCCCCCTTCTCCAGGACTGTGTTGCGGTGCCCTTACATATAATCGCACAAAGGGAATGAAAAAAAGGTGTCGCATCAGCGGTGCAGCGTAATGGCACTGTCAGCACAGACTGAGATTGTGCAGACATGAGAACCCTGGCCAGTAATTGAAAACACTCTCTCTTCCCCGGCACCGCCCGGCTGCAGCCACCACCGGTTCTTCTGGCACACCAGCCAAATCGTGCCTTTGAGAAAGGCTCTCGGGACGCAACTGTCGAAGGGCACGGCGCTCAGAAAATTAAAAAATGGAGCCAGGGGGGGAGGGAAGGAGAAGATGACGCAGATGACCCCCTTGCAGGTGTCAGGAGCAGGCCTGCCTGACAGCATCCTAGTTAATTTCCTTGCTTTGCCAGAAATCTGACAGAAGGGGAAGGGGTGGGGGGCAGAGCCTGGATTTGCAAAATGTTGCTTCCTGGCCCAAACACCTGCCCGACAGCTACACCTGCCTGTTGGACAGAGGCTGCCCACCCCCTCAAATTTCACAAATCCCCTCCTGATGCAATTCAGGTTCTGCATAACCAACATCCACATTTAAATATGTATACAGTATATTTGTTATATGTGCTAGTTCTCTATGTACTCACCAGACTTAAGAGATGCCTTACATGTTCAACAAAGACGGTCATGGGCGCTGACCTTCTTCCTGGTCTGGGGAGATAATAACAAGGAGCTTACCTTACAGGGCTGTTTAGACTCCTCACAGAAATTTAAAATACGTAGAACCTTCTCCCTTTTATCTGAGGTGACTGGCAGGAAACACGACATGCAACAGAACAAGCATTTTGTGAAAGAAGTCTAATTAGTGACCTACTAAGTCATCATTCCTAAGGATAGGACTCAAGAGCTTGGAATTAGGGAGGCACAAGTAAGATAGTTAGCTATCTGTAACCAGTTACTTCCAGGGAGCAAGAACAAACAACAATGTTATATGTATTCTCGAAGGCTTCCACGGCTGGGATCTGATGGTTGTTGTGGGTTTTTCGGGCTCTTCGGCCGTGTTCTGAAGGTTGTTCTTCCTAACGTTTTACCAGTCTCTGTGGCCGGCCTCTTCAGAGGACAGGAGTCAGAACTTTGTCTGTGCTCTGGTGCAGTTTGTTTGGATAGTTGAGTATTTATAGCTGTGGGATCAGTTTTTGTCCTTTTCAGGAGATGGGTGATTGTGGTGATCAGCCTGTTTTTTGTTGTGGGTGTATTGTTGTGATAAGAGGGAGAGAGGATTCCTCACTGTGATTGATGGGTGTTGTTAGCTGGTCTTTTGTGTGCAGTGATCACCAGTCCTTGTAGCTGGGAAGAGTTCGTTGACCTTTTGCAGGCTGTATTCTTCAATCTTGGGAGCCAGGCTTTGTTGACTGTTAAACTTTCTTTTTTTGTTGAAGCTCTGCTGGTGTTTGTGGATTTCAATGGCTTCCCTGTGCAGTCTAAAATAATGATTACTGCAATTGAAGTTCTGCATAACCAACATGCACATTTAAATATGTATACAGTATATCTATGATATGTACTAGCTCTCTATGTACTCACCAGATTTAAGAGATGCCTTACATGTTCAACGAAGACGGTCATGGGCGCTGGACCTTCTTCCTGGTCTGGGGAGATAATAACAAGGGGCTGTTTTGACTCCTCACAGAAATTTAGAATACGTAGAACCTTCTCCGTTTTATCTGAGGTGACTGGCAGGAAACACGACGTACAACAGAACAAGCATTTTGTGAAAGAAGTCTAATTAGTGACCTACTAAGTCATCATTCCTAAGGATAGGACTCAAGAGCTTGGAATTAGGGAGGCACAAGTAAGATAGTTATCTGTAACCAGTTACTTCCAGGGAGCAATAACAAACATCAATGTATTCTCGAAGGCTTTCATGGCCAGGATCTGATGGCTATTGTGTGTTTTTTGGGCTCTTTGGCCATGTTCTGAAGGTTGTTCTTCCTAACATTTTACCAGTCTCTGGTATCTTCAGAGGACAGGAGTCAGAACTCTGTCTGTGCTCTGGTGCAGTTTCTTTGGATAGTTGATATTTATAGCTGTGGGATCAGGGCATTCACACTTGGGCATTCACATTGTCTTGGGCAGGCCTACTTTACAAGGTTGCGTGCAGCGAATATTCACTCATTTTATCTCAGGGCTCAAGGGGCAGAAATGGAAATAAATCTGGCTGCTTTTCCCAATGCTTGACCTGGTTAAATGGCTCAGATCCAGATCTCAGTCCTCAGGAGGGCATCAAAACTCACTGGGATAACTTGGGCATTCACACTGTCTTGGGCAGGCCTACTTTACAAGGTTGTAGTGAAGGATAAAGTTAGGAGGGCCAAGCCATGCCTGCCGCCTTGAGCTTACAGGAGGAAAAACAGGATAGAAAGAGCAGGACTGACTAATGAAAAATGGAACCGAGACCCCAATTTAATTGTACCCCAAAATCTGCCCAAGGGGAACCAGCAGACATTTCTGTCTGCTTGGCCTAATGGAAGGGAGGAGCATTTCCTCGCTTCTCACTCTTGCATAAATATTGATACAAGAACCTCTTTATTTGTATCTGTTTACAAAACTATCCATGTATTGCTTTTGTGAACCTCCAAGCACCATAAAAACAGCAGCAGCAGCAGCAAAAACGCTCATAATAACCACCTTCTTTCAAAACAGAGGCTGCTGGCGTGCGTTTCGGTTTGGCTCTACTTACCGAGCTTGACGCCAGACGGGGCAAGAGCCGCTTTACCGCCAAAGCGCTTTCGAGGGCATTTGCCTTGGGGATTTGCAAGGCCTGTTTTAAAGCCGGTGCCAAAGACTGAGGCTTCCTCCGTCCCCGACAAGGAAATCCCCCGGGAGGCCGTCGCCAACCTAGGGGGAAGAGGAGAAGATCATCAGCCTGCCCCACATGCTTTGGGGGAGCCACGGAGCGCTCACCCCAGATTTTCTAGCAATCCTCCTTTTCCCAAATCTATGTTGGGGGTATTATCATATCTCCGATCGCCATCAAAGCCGGCATTCTCCTAGCCTCTGAGATGCAATTTAATTTCTTCAGTTTAATTTCTTTGGTGATGAGGCGCTCCCAAGGCGAAGGCCCACCAGTGGCTTTAATTAAGTTGCCACTTAAGCAGTGGATGGATTTCCTCCCCTTCCTCCTGCTTCAGAGGGCCTTCAGAATATTCTGTGCATGGCAGCAGAGAAGGGAGGGTACCACTAAAAATGGCATTTTTGATGCAAAATTTTAAACCCAAACGACAGGCCTCAAGCTCTTTTGGTTGCTCGGTTCGCAGGATGTTGGATTCAGTGGTAGACTGCTCCTAAGAGCAGAGGCTCAGTTTAGCCACGGCGGCAAACAGCCTTGGACAGAGGGCTGGCATAAGCATCACATCCAGCCAAGAGTTAATGTGGAAACATCAAAGCTCAGGTGTAGGAGGGTGGCACCCATTTTTGTGGACCTCAACCCTCTCCTCCAGGAGAGGACATGGCCGTGAGAAGCTCGAAAGGATCAGCTCAGACATTCTTGGCTTGACTGCAACCGACTCTCCCATTTAGGGGCCAACCGGAAGCTGGTGGTCTCATCATCTCCCTTCCGACGCCTCACCCAACATGACCTTGCTTGACCTTAGGAATCAGGCAATCTGGGTGTGTTTGGGGGAGGGTGCGTGTGTGTGGTGGTAGCCAGCCCACCTGCCCTCACCCTGTCGCCCTCCGCACACACAGACACAAAGACAACAACGGCGGGTCGCGTCTTAGAAAGCTAACTGGCAGCACCAGCTACTGTCGCTGAAGCTCCACCGGATGCATGTCAACAAACAAGCCGCCCAAGGGTAGGGGCGGCCCCAACGCAGCAACCAGCTGTAATCTGGAGCCAGACACTGTCTCTAATTACTTCCACATTTTCCCCCATCTTGTTCTCTTTTTAATTTTATCTTATCTCCATCGCACGCTCCCACCCTCCAGCATCTCGTACAAATTAGACTTTCCCCTCCAGCTCCACACCCGCCCGCCCTCTCTTGCAACCCATCTGAGTTATTTTTTCTCTCTCTCCCCCCCCTTCTTTTTAAATCACTGATACTTACCCCTTCATGATGCTCAACTTTTCCACTGGATTTTTTTTTGGGGGGGGACTGACAGAAAAGGGGAGGGAGAAACAGCGAGAGAAAAGGGAAAAGAAGAAGATGTGATTAAGGCTCATCTCACTACTTAATAAATTACCAGCAGATTAGCCGTTCAAGGGCAGAGAAATAAATTATGATATTTAACATTTTGTAATAACAACAATTAGTTGCTAAATAATGTCGTCTTCTAGGGTTATTTTTTCCCCGTAACACAAAAGGCAAAAGTAAATTAGTCGTCCTAATTAGCTGTCAAGCATCAAAGCGAGAAAAAAAGGAGGGAGGTGTGGACCCCCATGGAAATGTTCACAAATGTAGGTTGGGAGGGTTGGGTCGTGCTTCAAGAAATGTACATGCAACCCTCAGAACTCATCTCAGCAATCAGTGAAGCAGGCCTAAAAACAGGTTATCTGGTAGGTCTACATCCAGTTGCCAGCCCCGGGCACAGCAGATTTCTCGTAAGGTCTGCTCAAAAGGAAGTCCGCACTTATGGGAAATCCCATTGATTCAAAAGTTGATTCCTTCGCTGGAACGTGGCACTGCATTTAAAAAATCTAAAATGTTTTAACACCCAAGTTTTTCTGTCTATGGAACAAAAGAGATTATGCTGTTTTTGGACTACGACTCCCATCAGCCGGCATGAGAACTGACACGGGATCATGGGAGGAAAAAAAATATTATTAATAAAAGAAAGGTCACAACAGACTGGCCGGGACTTCCTTCGGGGGGCCATTCGGTTGAGCCCCAAACGGCAGCCGAGGCGTCCATGCGTCTCCTCCTTCTCATGTGCAGAAAGTCTAACGACCCCCACGTCTCTGATGAGGTCTGTGTGCATGGCTTTCTTGCTTCTCTGCCTGGGGCTGGGGATGATGGATCTAGGGGGTCTTCCAGAATGGGGGCTTCCGGGACAAAGTGTTGTCCAAGGGATGGGGTGATTTGAATGTGGAAGGTTTTTCGAGGGGGGGGGACACCCAGTTTTGTCCCAGTTCAGGCAAGGGGGTCCTTATGGCAAGACCGCTGAGGGCATCCCTATGGCGGTGGTCCCTTGTATGGGATTTCGTGTGGCCTCCCTAGCGGTCTTCCTGGCTCAGAGGCTTTGCTGGGTTTACCGTTGAGCCGATGGACTTTAACATACAGGGAAAGGAGGAAGGAGAGAGAGTGAGAGAGAGAGAGAGATCAAAGGGAAAGGAGGAAGGAGAGAGAGAGAGAGAGAGAGAGAGAGAGCGGAGGAGAGAAACCAAGCAGCTCCATTTCATGAAATATATAGACCCAGCAGCTGGAAAGAGCCCATCCTGATATAACCCATGACAGGTTCAGTTCATAAATTAATTCTTTGGCAACCTACAGCCATCGCTCCTTTACCTTCCCTCTAAAGCTTTTAATTACAGCTCAGCAAGCTTCAAGGTTTGATCGCTTGGAAGGTTCTCCCCACCACCTTCTCCCTCCTGGGGGGGAAAAAAACCACAGACACACACAAAGACACACACACGCTCCCCCCAAAATTTAGCTTTCAGAGGTCTCTCTGACAAGCACATTGCTCATCGCCCGACAACGGCAGAGGGATGCACTCGACGCAGGGCGGATGCGCCTCTGGGGGGGGGCATGGCACAGGCCTTTCTGAGCGCTGATGGCAGCAAATGCAGCTGAGGTCGGTGAGGTCAGGAGAGGCTTCCCTGCAGCGCTGCTGTTGGCAGGGGAAGAGGCGCTCCCAAAAAGGACAGGCAGATGTTTGTTTCCTCCTGCTTTTTCTGAATGCTTAGGTTTGGAAAAGGATAGAACAGAGAGAAATGTGTTTTATCTAACATAATTCTTCACTTCCTTTTACTTTGGTATTTCCACCATGGTTGGAATTTATCTGGGATTCTCTGTGTCTCTCTTGAAGCTTGTGAGAGCTCACCACCGCCATGTTTCAGCCATCTGTGTTAGGCCCAACTCTGCAATCTTTAGGCCTTGTGACAGCAACAGAGGATGTCCATGACTAAGAGAATCATCACATCCTTTCACCTCTAAATCCTCCCCTTCCCTTTTGCTCCTTTCTTCATTTTGATTTTCAACAAAACTTCTATGGGTTTTCATGGGTTTCCTCTCACTCGTGGGTTTATCTGGACCTTCTGCCTCCAAGCAATTCAAAATATTGCAGAATCAAGTTAAAATCTTCTCTGCATCTTCTTTTCCTCCAAAGCTTTGGTTTTCTCCCTCCTCGCACCCGAGCAAAAGAACAAGGACATCTACTGAGATGGAGAACAAAGAAGTTCTGGGCACGGTGGAAACTCAGGGAAAGAAGGGTGTGTCTTCTGTGGCTTGGCTCCTAAGCACGGAGAAACACCTCTTACAAGCTGTGGCGGTGCCAGCCGACACGGCCCAAGGGTCGAGCATCCCCGTTGCGCCTGCTGGCAGCCGAGACAAGAGGCCAGGAGCATTCTCTGGGGGTCCTTTAAGTGCAAAACGGCGCAGACCGGCCAGAATTGGCATTTGAACCCACAGGCGGTGCCTGGGCTTAGCGAGAAAAACAGCGATGGGAGCAGAGAGATGGTGTTTGCCCCATAGCAATGCTGGCTCACACAGACACACCGCCCTGCTTTAATGGAACAGCTCAGGCAAGAGGCATAAATATCCGACAGTGCGGGGCGAAGCTGCGATGGGGCTTATCCCTGGTGAGTAATGAAATGTCTTAAATCCAGCCACCGTTTAAGTCACCCAAGAATTATGGTGGCAGGCAGCGGCTGCGCAGAGTCAGCAGGGCTGAGCCCCAAACGCTGCCTGCACAAAGATGGGGGAAACGCCGGGAAGTGGAAGAAACGCACCTTCGTTTGGGGAAATTATTTGACCTACAAGTTTGCTGATGAGCTCCCCTTTCTTCGTTTTAAGACTCCTCTTTGGTTGCACTTTTAAGCCTCCCTGGAGAAGAGGGAACCCTGATTCATGTATTGTATTGCAAATATTTAAACCAGGGGCACAGAATTCAACTCCTATCAGCCCCACGGCTAGAGGGCCACTGATTTTCCCAGTTTAAAATGTTTTTCCCCAAGTTTTTGTTGACTTTTTGTCCAAATTTACAGAATTTTTATTGCATCTATGCCCCAAGAAGAGCATTGGAAAGTGGTCTCTTTTTAGGGATCCAGTGAAAGGGCTCACCAGTCCTAAATTAAATGCAGCTGGTCAGGTGATCTAGACAGATGGATAGGAGAATCGGGGGGGGGTTGTATGTGAGGGGAGGGGAGGAAAATGGGATAATGGGGAAGGTTAGACGACCAAATAGCGATCCAGCCAGAGCCTCGGTTACCTTAACTATTCCCAGGGAGGTGAAATGTAAGGACTTTATTTGCACATTTGATAGCTTGGGAATGGAGTTTTGAGGGCATCATGTATCAAGGAGGGAAATGTTTCAAGAGCCAGAACTATGCATTTGGTTTGGCCCTGAAGAGACTTGATCATTGGACTCTGGGCTCAGAGTTACCCTGAAACAACAGTGAAATTAAAAACAGATTGGGTTCCTTGCGGGGAAATGACTAGATCTGTGACCTTGCGTCCCGGCACCACATCGAAGGCTACAGAGGTGTTTTAGAAGGCAGAAGCACCGCCAGAAGAGAAGCAGACTCCACTGGCAATGGGAAAGCCATTCAGAACCAAATGCAGGGCCAATGAAAGTCCAATTATTCTCCTCCTCCTCCTCCTTTTTAAATTAAGAAATTCAATCAAGGCCCTTAATGGTGGTCAAAAGGTCCATGTCTTACAAGTCACTCATTTGACATGGGTGGCCTTTGGAGACGGACTGAGAGATTCACGAGGGCTATAACGAGAGTGATAATGAAATAAACCTGAGGAAGCAGGCCAGGAAGGCGCCCGATGAACGCACAGAAAGGGATGTGGAGCTGAATCAGTGGCTGCCTTCCTGTGGAGCATTTTAACCATTGCCATGTCGGAGAAAAATCAAACAGCAAATTTGGCCCCTCATTGCAAAGAAGGGCTTGTCCTTCAAAGCCGGGCTTTGGGCATTTTTTTCAGCCAGGCCTGCGGTGCCGATTTAGGATCATCATCAACCTTATTTTTCTGACATGCTCCTTGTCTTTTAACCGCTCTGTGGCAAGCAGGCAGAGCGTGGGCTTCTCCGCGCTGGCCGTACCGTAACTCTCTGTTGGAATCTGTCTCCAGGACAGAATGGGGAGGATTTGCTTCGCTTTGCTTTTGCCCATCAGAGCTTTCCAGAGTTTCTGTGCTAATCCAAATGAAAGCATTTGAAATTTAAAAACATCAACAACTAGGAATTGTGGAGGAAGGAAAATGGACAGATCGACTTCTTTCCGAGAAAGGCTTACAATGCTTAGTGCTGAAAAGCCTGGCTTTAAAATCACAGTGATTTCAGCCAGATTTGGGATGCTAATTTAGTGTTGCCATATTTTTTTTCCTGGAGGGCTCCTCATCTCCTATAGGGAAGGCACAGATAACACGCCATCCTCAGCCACAGAAAGCTTGAGATGAGAAACAACGGACCGCAGAAGAGAGTGCAACAGATCCAAACACCCCCAGGGGCAATTTCTCCTCAAAGCTAATTCGCACAACCTCGAGGGACACAACTCCAAAATGCAGTACAGACCACGGCACAGTCTGTACGTGGCTCCTCTGCTCGAAGGAGACCAGAACCTTTTCTTTACTTTTCTTTTCGGCCCAGCAAAATGCAATCAAGCTTGAATTATCCTGTTTGGCAATTTTTTTTAAAAAAAGTCCTATTTGTATATGAAAAGAAACGGGGGCTAATCAATCAAACCTCTCCCAAAAGAAGATGGTTGACAGCTCAAAGCGGAGGGGGAAAAAAGGGAGAAAAATCCCTTTGCCAGCAGCTGAAGCTGAGTTGGGATCAAACACAGTTTGTGAAATGTTTAAATGTATTATTCATTCCACCAATGAGATGCAATCTATGGGGAGAACTTTTTTGGGGGGTGGAAAGACAGCAGTGGTGGAAGTATAATAATTT